ATCCTCAGTGCTGGTGCCTCAGGCCCCTGCCCCCTTGATTTTTGTTTTTTTATTCTCAGTGCTGGTGCCCTCACGCCCCCGGACCTGCCCCCCCACTGCTGAGCTCAGGACAGTGACACGGCCTCTGCTCCCCAGCCCAGCGGCAGCCATGGCTGCAGAGAGCCCCGTGGAAAGTGTCCGGGAGGAAGCGCCGCGTCCCGTCTGCCTGGAGGATTTCACAGCCCCTGTCGCTCTGCAGTGTGGGCACAATTCCTGCCAGGCCCCCCTCAGCCCTCAGGGCAGAGACACTGAGCAGCAGGGTAATTGGCAGCTGGTAAACATGGTGGAACTAGCCAAGCCGCTGAGTTTCCAGTCATCAAAGATAGCAAGATGGGACGGGGTGTGTGGGGAGCACCAGGAGGCTCTGAAGCTGTTCTGTGAAGAGGATCAAACTCCTATCTGTGTGGTGTATGACAAATCCCAAGCTCACATGCTGGTGCCCTTACAGGAAGCTGCCCAGGAGTACAAGGTACAGAGTGGCTGTCCCTTGTGATGGGAAATAACATTGGGTTTTAATTACGGGCTAATTTCACTAACTGTTACTGTGCACAGGTGTGAAACAACTGTAAATCCTTCGTGGTACAAGAGATGTTGTAAAAAGTAAATTCTCTGATTTTGTGGCAACTTAAGACAAGTCTTTACTGATACCTGATGTGGGAAATGTTTTTCTGAGAATCTGAATCCTGAAACCCAGCCCTCACTGGTGACAGGAGGGGTGTTTGCACAAAGGAAGTTAACAATCAGAGAGGTTTAGATCACAGGAACTGCAGGCCACACGGTCAGTGAGCTGCCTTGGGACTGAAGAAGAGGAGGTGTTACTGATTGGAGGAGCAGGAATAATAATCCGTCATTTGCCTTATGGACCCACAATGGTATCTGGGCCCTGCACAACACCCAGCAAGGGTCAGTCCCTGCCCTGATCAGGTCACAGTCTAGTTAGACAAACTGTGGGAAGAGAAGGTGGGGCAGCAAGTTGCTCATAGTCACCAAGCACGTCTGTGATAGAGTTTAGCCTGGAACCCTGGTCCAACTGTTAGACTACACTGCTCCCTGCCCCTCAGCATCACTGAACAGTGATGAAGTGTGGCCCTTAGGAGAGAAAAATGTCTTAATAAAGCCCTAGGCCCATCAGGGAGACGAGGTTTCTCTCAGGGATGCTGAAATTCTGGGATGCTCCATGAGGGGTTAAACTCAGATGCAGCAGCTGGGCACTAGATGAAGTTGCTGGGCTGGCTGTTACGTGAGGCCCCGAGCGCCTTCACTCCACCCATAGCAGAGTTTCAGGAAGTGCAGGTCCATGCCAGGCAAAACTGGGATTCAACTGGAGGGGTTAAACTCAGATGCAGCAGCTGGGCACTAGATGAAGTTGCTGGGCTGGCTGTTACGTGAGGCCCCGAGCGCCTTCACTCCACCCATAGCAGAGTTTCAGGAAGTGCAGGTCCATGCCAGGCAAAACTGGGATTCAACTGGAGTGTAGCAAGAGTTCAAACTGGTTAACTGATGAGCTAATGTTTCTCGGTGCCAGTTACCACTTAAACTCCCCACTGCCCATGCAGTGCCCACTTGCTCTGGCAGCTACAGTCAGTCTGCAGCTGCTGGGCGTTCCCATTGGCCAGCAGTTCTTGTGGCCACCCCGGCAGACCTCGCAAGAGATCCCTGGCCCCAAGAGACCCATTTCCGCTACCAACCCTGCCTGTCAGCAGGTTAAAAAATACTGTCACTGATAAAATTGTAATCGGTTACATGATTAGTATTGTTAACCACCTGCATCATTCTTTACAAAGGTGCCACCACCAATCTGTCCCCCATGCTCGTAGGTGTCCTGCTGCATCCGCAGTCTCCTCCTGTGTCTTTTTCTATGGACAAAGCCATATTCCAGGGCTGAGTCCCTGCTGGACAAGGGCAGAGCTCCACAAAACTAGGACTCTCTTAAAGGCAGATAAATGGGCTCCCAACAGCTAATGTGGCTTGCCTTTGTGCTTATTTCAGTTTCTTCAGGAAAAATTGGAGGCTCATTTGAAGACTCTGAGGGAGGAGAGAGAAAAGCTGCTGAGAAGGAGAACAACAGCAGAAGGGAAAAGCCAGGAGTATCTGGTAAGTGCTTGTGGCTATGGACCAGCAGGGACTGGCAGTGGGAGGGCTGTGTTAGGAAGCAGACTTCTGTGTGGCCTTGGTGAGGTTGGGCTTGTTTGTGTTTCTCCTGGATCATGGATTGCAGGGTGAGATCCACATGTAGAAAGGCCTTGAGTATCTGTGTCAGTGCATGAGTTAATGTCCATCCTTTCTGGCTTTCCCACTCATCCTCCCCAAGTGAGCTGAATGTCCCTTTGAAGGGCTGTCTGCTCACTTGGTGCATTAACACGTTTCCTTCTTTTTTCTCCCTGGGTATCTGTCAGGCTGGTGGGGAGTCCTGCCTCCTGCTGCTCTGGGTCTGAATTCCCAGAGCCCATGAATAACAAAAGATGGTGCCCATGACAGACATGGGAGCATCCCTTTCAAAGGGACACACAGGCAAAAGGAGATGCTGGGAGAGATGCTTCTGCCTAGTAATCACAAAGAGTCAAATGTCACGAATTTTAGGGTTTTCCAAGATAATTCTCCCTACTGCGCACTCTGCTCCCCGTGAAAGGGCTGTGGGCTCCATCCATGCCCCTGACCAGCCCTTTCCCTGTTTTCACACAGAAATGGACCCAAGCCAAGAGGCACATGATTGTAGCTGAGTTTCAGCAGCTGCGGCAGTTCCTGGAGGAAGAAGAGCAGCGACTCGTAGGCCAGCTGGAAAAGCTAGATGAGGAGTTCGGGAGGTTCCAGATTGACACTGTCAGGAAACTCTCCGTGCAGGTTTCCTGCCTCAGCAAGGGGATCAGTGAACTGGAGGGGACGTGTCAGAAGCCAACAAGTGAATTCCTGCAGGTGAGAATGAGGGAAAAACATCCCAGCTCCCCACACAGGGAAGGGAGGCTCCTGAATCACAAGTGCTGGGTCCCAGTTGTCAGATCTCAGTGTAACACCTTGTGCATTGCTGCCATGCGAGTGACTCCTGTTCTTTGTAGAGTTACAGGCACGGATCTATTGGAGATGGCAAAGCCCCATTTGCTCAGGGGATCCACGTTTCTGGGGCCAGGTCAGGGCCTCTCTTCCCATGTTTTCAAAATCCCTTCCCTGAGGTCCCCTGTGTGTGTCCAATGGGGCTGATATTCTTTTCTGTCTTTTCTTTTCTAGGACGTCAGAAGCACCCTGAGTAGGTACGTGGCTCTCTCTCTCCTCACACTGCACAGAGCAGGGAAAAGGCTTGGAGCGGATGTTAGCACCACATCTCCCCAGAGCTCTACAGCCAGATGTTAGACATGAATATCTCTGATGCATTTAATTCTGAGGGTCTCATCCTCGCACTTTAGACTCTGGAATTCCCCATTCAGGGCACAGTCTGACCTCAAGTGTCTCCTGGAGCTGTCACCTCCCTGGGAACTGGCTGCCTCAGTACTGTGGGGTGGAACATGGGCCTGTCAATGCTGAGCATTGGGCACATTCAGCGTAGGGCAGCAGGGACCCAGAGTCTTTCCTATCCGAGGGCTGTTTGGAGACCTGTGTGGAAGGAGCTGGGGAGAGGGGAGCTGGTGTCTCAGTCTAGTCTCCCGTGGACAGAGTCCTTCAGCCCTTTACCCTGAGGGACAGAAGGTTCCCACGTGATGTCTACACTAGCTCCTTAGTTCGGGCTAGGTAGGCAAATGAGGGCAACCGGAGTTGCAAATGCAGCCCGGGATTTAAATATCCCATGCTTCATTTACATGTTCCTGGGCGCCACCATTTTTCAATCCCCCTTAGTCCAAACTAACTGCCCGTGGCTAGACGTGGTAGTTAAACGTTAATTCGAACTAACTCCTTCGTTCGAGTTACCTGTTACTCCTCATGGAATGTTACTCCTCGGGAACATGCAAATGAAGCCCGGGATATTTAAATCCCGGGCTTCATTTGCAACTCCGGTTGCCCTCATTTGCCTACCTAGCCCGAACTAAGGAGCTAGTGTAGACATCACGTGGGAACCTTCTGTCCCTCAGGGTAAAGGGCTGAAGGACTCTGTCCACGGGAGACTAGACTGAGACACCAGCTCCCCTCTCCCCAGCTCCTTCCACACAGGTCTCCAAACAGCCCTCGGATAGGAAAGACTCTGGGTCCCTGCTGCCCTACGCTGAATGTGCCCAATGCTCAGCATTGACAGGCCCATGTTCCACCCCACAGTACTGAGGCAGCCAGTTCCCAGGGAGGGGACATGCATGGCCATGGGATGTGTTGTCCCCGCTCTCAGGCTGGGAGAATTGGAGGAATTCTAACTCCAGGCCTGTTAGAGCTGAGACTTACTAGCCAGAACTTACCAGCAGTAAATGAAATACAATCACATTGAATTGTTTCTGTCCAGGTGTGAGATGGGGCAATTCCAGCTGCCGGAAGAGATTTCCCCTGAACTAGAAGAACAAGTCAGAGGTTTTTCCCAGAAAATGATTGCTCTGTTGGGGAGACTGAGGGAGTTCAAAGATACCTGGAAGGGATGGATATGGGGAAAGTGGTTCAAGTATCTGAGACCATTGAATCTGGCCTCTGAAACCAACCTTCCCCTGCCTCAATTCCCACATGGAGAATGACGGCCCCATCAGTCTGCTCTCCTTAGAGACACTGAGCGAACAGACCCAACTGTTCGCAGATAGAGCCAGGGGTTTGAAAACTCTGAACCTCCCATTCAGAGATCAAAATGGCTAAAGATACTGTGATGGCCACGTGTTCCGCCACCACAGCTCCAGGTTTTGATAAGAGGCAGTAAGTGAATGAAAAACCAAGTGGGAGGCAAGAGTAACTCTCATTTACAGCTTGTCTCTTCTGGGACGGATTTGAGGCTGCAGGGATATTGGCTGTATCACTTTGAGGTGCCCGAGAGAGGAAATGAAAGTTTCAGACTTTCATAATAAATACCTGTGTGTCTCTGTCTGGTCTCTGATTCAATTGAAACACAGAGTTCAGAGATGGACATTGTTATAAACAGGGCTCGCCAAGTGGTGGTGAGCCCCGCTCACCAGCCACATGGAATCGCACGTTGCGCTTGCACAGACCGCGCTGTGTATGCGCTGACCGCACTGCATGGCCGCGCTGGGCTAAAATCTACTCGCCACGGGCAAGTAGATTGCCCTAATTGTCGAGCCCTGGTTATAAATAGGAGAGCCTGGAATCTCACCTCTCTGATTCCTTCCTCCACCAGACACTCTGCCCTCTGCACTGGAGAGAGCAAGAGGAAAATCCCTGGGAGCTTTCAAACAAGGTGAGTTTGCTGGTGGAAATTCTTTAAGTGATGTGAGAATTCCTGTGAAAACATCTTCATGGGATTGTCATTGAAGTTACCAACCAAACCCAGCGACCACGGTGCACACAGCACTAAATCTCACCCACTGATCAGTGAGGAGCCGCAGGGGTGCTGCATGGGGACCTTTAGACACTTGGAGAAACAAGTCTGGTCGATAGGTTTGTGATGCTAAAGGGGTGAAGTTAAAGCACACAATGGACGGTACCTTCAGGCTCACTCCTGTGAAAACATCTTCATGGGATTGTCATTGAAGTTACCAACCAAACCCAGCGACCACGGTGCACACAGCACTAAATCTCACCCACTGATCAGTGAGGAGCCGCAGGGGTGCTGCATGGGGACCTTTAGACACTTGGAGAAACAAGTCTGGTCGATAGGTTTGTGATGCTAAAGGGGTGAAGTTAAAGCACACAATGGACGTTACCTTCAGGCTCACATTTCACTGCTCAGTCAGTTTCAATATGGGGTTAGTTTCAAACAATAAATAGGCTGAAAGTCTGAGAGCTGACTGGCTTCCATGGTATCAATTTGTTCATGGCGAGAAACTACTGGATCCCCAAGAGCTGTTAAGTCTAGTGCAGACCTGGGCAAAATACACCCCATGGGCTGGATCCACCCCACCAAGTCATCGGATCCAGCCCATGGATGCCACTCCCCATCTTCAAGCCACTCAGAAAGTGACTGTGAACCCGGAGGGGGGAAGGGGGGAAGGCTTCAGGTGCTGCTTACACCTCCAGGGCAATCTTATTTGCCAATTTCTGACCAGAAACAGCACTGCATCCCCTCCCCTTTGGATCGTAATTATTCACACACCCACATGGCCCTGCAGCCTGTGAGAAGGCTGGGCAGGCTCCCTGCCTTCCTGAGGTGCTTGGTCTCTGCCCAGGAGTCACTCAGATAAGTCCCCTATCCAGAGCTTGCCTCTGACACCCCAACTTCTGCCTTCCTCTCGTAATCTCTGTTCCCCGCTCCTGCCCTGCACTCTGCATACCCAAACTCTGTCCTCCTCCTGTAGCCATATATGCAAGAGCTCTCAGTGGTCAGAAACCCACAGCCACTAAGTCACTTCTCTAAATTAAAGTTACTTTAAATATCTAATGCATAGTTGGTTAATCCAGTGTCCTAGATCACAGCCTGTCTCCTTCACCCAAGCTCCCTCCTAGACCCCTCTATCCGTCCTGCATCCCAAACCGTTACTCCAAGCATCCTCCTTCTCCCAGTACCCATCCCAGACCCTGCATTAATGTCATGGAAGAGTGCAGTTCTCAGCCACTTTCTGTTTGCCACTTCTTGTCTCCCCCCCCCCCCCCCCCCCCCCATCAAAATGAATTACCCACCCTGTTGAGTGGATATGGCTCAGTGAGAGCGAATAAGTGAAAGCTGAAGCCAGACTCTTTCAGATTAGAAAGGAGGAACAAATGTTTGATAGGGAAGAGGATTAGCTGCTGAAACAAATGAGCAAAGAACTGGTGGATTCTCAATCTCTTGATGTCTTCAAGTCACCAGGGGACTTTCTAGAAAATACACTGTGGGGAAACAGAGCTTTGTACCTGGGTAACTGGAGTAAGTGTAATGGCTTGTGCCACAGAGGGGGTCAGACTGCATGACTGAGGATATCTTCTGATCCCATGAATCCGTGAATTTTAAGATCTCATCCTGCTAACACTCAGCACACGTGTTTAATAAGAAGCATCTGAATGGTGGTGTTAACATCACTGACTCTCTGTTGTGGAAAGGGTTTATAACGTCTCTGTCAGATGAGAGCGAAGTTTGTGCTGCAAATCCATGAATGAAGAGTAGGGGTTTTAAATACAACAGTCTGTATTTAACCTATATCCATGTTCAGGCAGATGAATATGTGGCTTGTTATCAGAAACACTAGGTGCTGAGAACTAAATCCCATTGTTGCAGACACAGTAATGTTGTAACTCAAGCCAGGTATGGAGAGAAATGAATATGGATTTGGGATCTAACTTGTGTGCACTGTTTATGGGATATCTAGACTAAAACTTTTTCCCACAATAGCAGAGTCTAGCACATATGTCACCAGGAACAGTCTGGGGATAATGGGAGTGTGGAAAGGATTAAAGCCCCTTCTGAAATGTCTCCAATTCCCCTTCTCCTCCTGCCAGGCTGCAGAACACCCATGTCTGTCTCCAGCTCAGCCCTTGGCCAGCAGAGTCAAGGACAGGAAATGGCCGTGGCGGAGCTGGTGAGCTTCGAGGAGGTGGCTGTGTATTTCTTTGAGGAGGAATGGGCTCTTCTGGACCCGGGCCAGAGAGCCCTCTACAGGGATGTGATGCAGGAGAATTATGAGGCTGTGAGCTGGCTGGGTAAGGATTCCTTTCCCCTTGGGTATCAGAAGCTGGGTGGGCTCTGGAGCAGCTGGGTTGGGTTTGGTTCAGGGTTGATCATTGCTTCTGCCCCAATAATCCTGGCTCTAGTGTGAAAGACTGTCCCCTCCATAGCCCCTCCCAGGGAAAGCAGGTTCAGTGACATAACAATGGTGCTGCTCTTCCCACAGCTAAGGTCTCACTGCGCTTCCCCCCCGTCTTGCCCATCTTGTGCGTTGACCAGAGGTGTGAGTAGAAGGGCTCAGGCAGGAACAGCAGGTACCAGAGTTCTGGGTCCGGCTACTCTTAGTACCTGAAGGGTCCCCTGTGGAAGTGCTCAGCCACTAGAAGGAGGGTTCAGTTCCCAGAGTCTTTTCCTGCCTGTAGCTAGTCTCTGTGACATGCTGTTCCAGCCAGTGGGAGGGGCTGGATGCTGGGGCTGAGGGAGGGTGGATGAGGCAGTTCACGCTCTGGGAGTGTTTTGTCCAAGGTAGCTCTGTAGTAGAGAAACGTGAGCAGAGCTCTCCTTGCATTTCAGGCACAGGTTGGGTTTCCTTCCAAAAGTTCAGCTTCATTCTTTCTGGGGCTCACTTGCCTCTGTGTCCAGTGGAGATAAATCATGTAATGTATTTTGTCTTTTCAGAGTTAAATATCCTCGGGTGGGGACTTTTTATTCCTGTGGGAAATGTCTGGTTTCATGCTCAGGAGACCTGTGTTCAGTTCTCTGCCCATCACACGTTTCCTGTGTGACCTTGATCAAGTCTCTTAGACTCTGTGTGTGTGATCACCTCTCTCTTTACTAGCTTTTACAGAGTGTCCCTGTGTCACAGGGTGGGGGGAAGGATACGTACACTAAAGAGGGGTGATGCTTAGCTCCATATCAGCACCCCGATAGCACAGTGGGGTCCTGATTTACACCGGAGTTCCCAGGTGCTGCTGTGATTGATCATTTTGTTTCCCATAGTGACTGCAGTGCTATATGAATTGCTGCTAGTGCCACAGAGCGTCATTACAGCTATTCAGGGCGGCTCTTTCTGGAGCTCTGATGCCAGCGGCACTGGCAGAGCATGTGTCGTGCACATGCAGCACAGCTCAGGGTTGCCACTAAGAAAGACCCAGGCTCTATTTTGAGTCTAAGGCGCTCGGCCAGGTTTATTGGGAAAGGAGCAGAGTACTAGTGTCCAAGCTCCTCAGGTATAGTGAGACTTGTCCCAACCCAATAGTGGTACCAGTTCAGTCTGCAGTCAGCATCAACATGCCCCTCCTGTGACTTCTCTCCTACATTGACACAAACAAGATGCCTGTTGCATTCCATGTGTTTGTTTATTTAACTATTTTTACCCTGTCTTTCTATTTAAAATATTCAAGGCAGCTTACCAAAAAAACCACAATACAAATATATGTAAAAATTTAAAATATGAGACCCCAGAGTGACATAACCAGCTAAAAACATATAGAGAGGAGGAACACACACATACAAACTCAAAGGCTACGTCTACACTGGCCCCTTTTCCGGAAGGGGCATGTAAATTTCACCAGTCGTCGTAGGGAAATCCGCGGGGGATTTAAATATCCCCCGCGGCATTTAAATAAAAATGTCCGCCGCTTTTTTCCGGCTTTTAAAAAAGCCGGAAAAGAGCGTCTAGACTGGCCCCGATCCTCCGGAAAAAGCGCCCTTTTCCGGAGGCTCTTATTCCTACTTTGAATAAGCGCTTAGATTTGTATGCCACTTGTGGCACGTGTGCCATGGGTTGCCATCCCCTATTCTAGGCTCTTCCCTTTATCTGGATGCAGTATAGACGCTCTTTTCCGGCTTTTTTAAAAGCCGGAAAAAAGCGGCGGACATTTTTATTTAAATGCCGCGGGGGATATTTAAATCCCCCGCGGATTTCCCTACGACGACTGGTGAAATTTACATGCCCCTTCCGGAAAAGGGGCCAGTGTAGACGTAGCCAAACATTAATAAAAGCACGAATAAAAAGGGTGGCTTTAGCCTGATGCCGAAACAACGCTAGCATTGGCGCCATGCAAATATACCGAGGAAGAGAATTTCACAGCCTGGGAGCAAAAACTGAGAAGGCCCTGTTCCGTGTAGATGTTGATCTTCTCTCCACAAGTGGGGGAACACGAAGCAAAGCCTCCCCAGCTGACCTCAATCCCCGGGCAGGTTCATATGGGAGAAGACGGTCCTTCAGAAATCCCGGACCCAACTCATTTAAGGCTTTATAGCTCATAACTAAAACCTTAATTTGTGCCCAGAAACATACTGGAAGCCAGTGCAGCTGCCAAAGCACTGGCATAATGTGCTCTGTATAACTAGTGTTAATTAAAACTCGAGCAGCCGCATTCTGGAGCAGTTGAATTTTCCGAAGGCTCTTTAGAGGTAGCCCCACATAAAGTGCATTACAGTAATTCAGTCGGGATGTAACAAGAGCATGGATCACTGTGGCCCAGTCATGCTTGTTCAGTAAGGGTCGCAGCTGGCGGATCAAATGAAGTCCTGGCCATCGAAGAAATCTGATTTTCAAATGTTAAAAAAGGGTCCAGGAGGACTCCCAAGCTGTGTACCTGTTCTTTCAGGGGGAGAGTAAACCCATTTAGAACAGGTGCCATGCCACATTCCTGAACAGATGGCCTCCTGATCCACAGGACCTCAGTCTTATCTGGGTTCAACTTCAGTTTATTTGACTTTATATGCCTCGTGGGATGAGGTTTACTGGGGAGGTCGACAAAGGGCTTTGATGTTGTCTGCAGAGCGTCCAAACTATCGCACTGTGCCAACAAACAGCTGATCGGCACAGCGCGGCAGCCATTTTAATTTAAATGAAGCGGTGATTATTTAAATCGCCGCTTCATTTCCCTTTGCCTACAAACCTAATCTACATGGCTCTGTCAATGGAGCCATGTAGTCTAGACATGCCCCTAGTGACCTGCCATGTGGCAGCTGCAATCTGAGCCCTGCCTGGGGGCCTCGGTGTCAGATCTGCTAGAGCTCCCCTTCTGAGCAGTGTGTTCCTGTCCTGGGATGCCAGGGGGTTGGAATGGGCTGTGAGGGGGGCTGAGTTGTACCCTAGAGTGCAGCAGAGTGCTTAGCTCCCCTGGGGAAAGAGCCGGGCCATTCCCAAATTGAAAGGGGGGGATGCACCTTTCCTCAGGTAAATGTGTCCTGTGCTCTCGTACAGCCAGATCCCATTCTCTAAGGTGGGGAAGAAGCCTCTCTGGGTGGGTGACTCAGATCCTGGCTCTGGAAGCAGTAATGGTACAAACCTTAATGAACAAGATCTGGTTCATTGCTCTCCAAACAGGATTTCCAGTCTCTGAAGCTCATGAGATCTCCTGGGTGGAGCAAGAGGAGGAGTTGCAGGTCCCAGATCCCCAGAGCTGTGAGGAAGGAGAGATCATCAACAACACCCATGCAGGTGCTCAGTCAGCTAAATTGACTCAGAAACCACTTTATCGCAGGTGTAACCTGTGTGTTTTCATGAAGTCTGTCTGCCTGTTCAGCCTGTCTTCAACTCAAGTCAGAGTGTGGTAGGTGAGGAAAGGCTGGGTTCTCTCCTCTGTGGAAGCATTGTAAAGGAGGATGAACTCAGCTCATGATAATTCAACCATTATTTGAGTATGTGTCCCCTTTTCTATTCCTCTTTCAGAGTTTTCTTTCAGATCATCATGGAGAATAACTCCTGTCTGGATTATTTCTCTATCCCAACAGGTGATGGGATGCTGACTGAAAACCATGAGAAGAGTCTTCAGAAGGAAGGACTGGAGCAAGTGGCTCCATGTGGGATGTTACTGGGAAGACCTGAAAGGCATGTTCCCCAGATATGTGAGCAGGGAGAGACCTGCGAGAGTCAGCACAGAAACCATCAAGGAGAGGGACAGGGTAAATCCAGTCATAGGAGCAGAGGGGAGAAAAAAAGCACAGAAACTGTTCAACAGAAAATCCCCAATCAGCAGTCACCCTGCACTTGTTGTGACTATGAAACTCTTATTGAACATCGAAGAGCCCACACAGGAGAGATACCTTTCAGTTGCTTTGACTGTGGGAAAATCTTCAGTAGCAACTCACAACTTGTTACCCATAGGAGGATCCACACAGGAGAAAAACCTTTCAATTGCTCTGACTGTGGAAAAAGCTTCCGTACAAGTTCAAATCTTGGTAGTCACAGGAGGACCCATACAGGAGAGAAACCCTTTACTTGCTCTGACTGTGGGAAAAGTTTCAGTATAAGTTCAGACCTTGGTAAACACAGGAGGACCCACACAGGGGAGAAACCTTTTACCTGTTCTGACTGTGGGAAAAGCTTCAGTACAAGTTCAAATCTTGGTAATCATAGGAGGACCCATACAGGAGAGAAACCCTTTACTTGCTCTGACTGTGGGAAAAGTTTCAGTATAAGTTCAGACCTTGGTAAACATAGGAGGACCCACACATGAGAGAAACCCTTCAACTGCTCTAACTGGGAAATGCTTCAGGGAGAAGTCTGTCCTTGTTAGACATTGGAGAATCCACACTGGAGAGAAACCCTTCATTTGCCAAAGAACTCAGTGTCTATGATGCCACTGTAGCTCAGGCTCAGGCCCTGGCAAAAATTCAATGGAACAATGTGCGTAACTGACCTGAATGTGTGAAAACCTTCAGTGAGAGTTCAGAACTTATTAGACAGGAGAATCTACACTGAAGAGCAATCCTTCAGCTTCTCTTGTGCCATGACTGGTACCACACCTTATACATATGAAGGCTATAAAAATCAATTGCATCAACTCCAAATAAGTTCTTATGATCCCAAAGAATCTGCCATATTTTCAGGTCAATTTATGCTTTAGATCCTGCCTGAAAGAGCACGCTGTGCTAGTCCTTTAGAATCTAAAAGCAAACATGTATTAATAACAAAAGAGAAAATATTGAGAGTAAAATTGTTAAAGGAAACAAATTGAATACACTAATTGCACTGTTCCTGGTGCGGGGTTGTAGCAATGATGAAAAAAGACTATTTTAAATCTCGCTGGAGCACATCCCTTTGTTAGGGTGGGTCACCAGTCCTTCTGGGCTCAATTCATAGCAAAGATGTTCCTGAAGTGATGAGCTGGAATGAAGATGGAGGAACCCCCAGGGATCTCTTTATACCCTTGACCACGGGGAGATAATTCCATTGTTCTCACTGTATGAATGTAACTCTGAAAATTGAGTTTGTCACAGAAGCAAGTCATCTGTCCATGCATGACTCAGTCCTTTTAGGCAAGTAGCCATGCCTTACATGCTGGTCTGAAGTTACACATCAAACTCTTCAGCTGTGAATTGATGCTATTTGAGGTGCATTGTCAGTCAAGTATTGATGCTCATTTGGCTAGTGACCCTTTCACAGTAAGTTCAGGCCTGTGTATTGGGGTCAATGTGTGAGCTCTTCTATAAGCATTTTCTCCTCCTATTGGGGAAGGTAGCTGGGCAGGACCAGCCTGCAGCCCAAGTCTCTTTCAGCCTCAGGTGCAGGATGTGACTGAGAGGGGAGGAGAGGCTGTGGATAGAACCTCCTCCCAGCAGGCTGACCCAGCACAGAGTCTGTGCATGTTGGAGCCTTTCCCAGAAGGACTTTGGTCTGTTCTCTTCAAAATACTAGCCTGTTTCATTTTTTGCTTCTGAACATCTGTCCTGGATAGTCAACTCAAGGGCTATGTCTACATTGCTCTTATTCACCCAGGCGTGTGACCTGTACTGCCTGCGCAGGGAAGGAGCTGCCTGAGAAATGTGCTTGGCTGCTGTGAGTGTCTCCCAGTCAGACCCTGCCTCTAACCCCCCAGCCCCTTCTTTCCTGCATAGACAAGAGATCCTGGGTTCAACTCCCAGTAGTGCCTTGCTGTGGCCCTTTGCTCACATTTTCCTGTGCCTCCTCTGGCCCTGCTGGTTCAGGAAAAGGCTGATTGGGGAGGCTCCTTAGGGAGAAGGAAACCAGAAGCCTGGAGCGGGTGCAGAGGCTTCTGTGACTGGCACCAGCAAGGCAAGGTTCTGAATCCCACTCTAAGTCCCTAGGTACCATACACTGACCACTGAGTCCTGCTCCATGATCATCCCAGTGCTCTGGGTGTGTGAGACGTGCCTGTAACTCAGTGGTGGGAGGGTGGGCCCTGCCCTGCCTCGTGGGGGAGGGGACAAACAGAGCCAATTGACAGGGGCTCTGACACTCCAGCAGTGGGGCACTTGCACCCCTTATCCGGATTCAGACCAGGGCAGTCACAGCCTCTCACGCTCGCCAAGGGGGATTCTGCACTTGCTGCCTTGGGAGCCAGGGTCACATTGCAGAGCTCCCCCAGGGATGTCCCATGGCACCACCAGGTCAGCCCCAGCTGCTTTCCCTGCCCTCAGCAATGTGGCTGCATTTTATCCTCCCCCTTCAGTAACAACCGGCCATTCCCCACCCAACCCCATCCCCTGTGGGACCTGCTCCCTTCCCCAGGAGCGGCGTGAGTGCCGGAGTGCTGAGGTTGCAGCTATGGGAGACAAGCCTCTGGCTTCAGGAGGGAGATGAGATGTCTGGGTGTTGAGTTTCGCCCATGGCTAGTGTGGGGTGACCCACATTCTGGGGGCAGCTGGAGGTGCCTCCTGAGAACTGATTTTCAGGGGTGGGATCAGCCCTTTCTGTGTTTCTGGCTCCTTCTAAGGGCTCAAAACTGGTACCTAAAAGCTGAGGAATGTGCATTTGGAAGAGGGAATTTCTGACTCTTTACTGTCAAAGGAGTGCCCCAGTGGCCTAATGGTCAAGGCATTGGCTTTCTAAGCCAGGGATTGTGGGTTCAAGTTCTGTTTAGGGTGGCAGTTGTGATATTCCCCAGCAGATGCAAACTCTCCTTGGCTTCCTTTTCGACATGGCATCTGAGAGATGTTTGAACACTGGGCAAGTGTCCCCTGGAATTGCCATTTTCCCCCAGACAGGACCCCTTAGGAGCAGACACTGACACTGGTGTTAGGCGCAGATGGGGAGAGTGTTTCCTAAAAGCTGAGGTGTGCACAGTGAGGTCACTTTCAGAGATGCAGGCACTGGCTTCTCTGTATGCGCCTTGGCACCTGTTATCCATCGGTACCCGCCAACTCTCACCCCCCGGCAGCACCCAGACAGAAGGCCCGTGCACACGGAGCCAGCGACTGTAGCGAGAGAGGTGGCTGCAGCACAATTCCAGGCCTGGGGCACATTGAACAACTGTTTGACTTATTTTTTAAAAAAATATGAAAAACTTTAGGCTCCATTTACACTGCAGGCTTCTTGCATGAGAACTGTTTTGGGCAAGAGTTCTTGTGCAAGAGCAAGTCCACACGGCCATATACTTTCCCCCAAGAGGGAGGGAGAGCTGAGTGGTTTGACCATTAGCTTCCTAAACCCAGGGTTGTGAGCTCAGCCCTTGAGGGAGCCATTGAGGCATATGTGGCAAATCTGTCAAGAATGGTCATTAACCCTGCCATGAGTGCAGGGCGTTGGACTAGATGATCCCTCAAGGTCCTCTCCAGAGGTGGTATATCTCCTTATAAAGAGCGTCCATGGCAGTGTGGATGCTCTCTTGGGCAAGAAACCTCTCAAGTCCATTTTAGCCATCGGGGTTTCTAGTGTAAGAAATCCCTGTTGCCTGTCCATACTGCCTGGCCTTCTTGTGCAAAAGGGCTTGTTCATTATGGGGAGAGGAATAACTTTTACACAAGAAGCCTTCTTTTCCAATGGTTTACTCTATATTTTCTTGCACAAGAATGCACATGCAGGGTAAACACTCCACAAGTTTTTGCACACGAACAGCGGTTCTTGTGCAAAAAGCATGCAGCATAGACATAGTCATGCAGTGTGAAAAACTTCATAACAACAAGCCCCCCACCAGCAGGACCCACTGAAATTTGAACTCAGATTGTAGGATTCAAAGTTCTGTGTGCTGCCCCTTACACCATGGGACCCATAGAGCGGACTGTGTGTGGGGCACCTGAGGTATTCAGCTCTCAGGCTGGCCTCTGCACTCCTGGCTTCCCTCCTGCTGCTTCATCTCTCTGGCTACGACTACACTGACCATTTATTCTGGAATAAGCTTTTCTTGAATAGTTATTCTAAAATAGCTTATTTCGAAATAACACCGCTACACTGCAGGGAAACCTCAGAATAGTCTGAGGCAGGCTCCCCAGTGTAGATGAGCTATCTCGATTTAGAGCCCCAGGAAAAATAACTTAGAATGGCCCTGGGGAGGGACTAGTTCAAACTAGCAGCAGTGGCACAGCTACACAGGCCTTATTTTGAAATAGCTAATTTGGAATAGGTGTTATTTTTCGTAGAATGAGATTTGCAGTAGTTGGAATAAGCCGTCTGTTACTTCAGAATTATTTCAAAATAACGGAATTGCTGTGTAGACTCTTGCATTGTTATTGTGGAATAACGGCCATTGTTCCAAAAGAACTTTTGTGTGTGGACAGAACCTGCACAGTCCAAGAAATGTGAGTGGCTGCAAGCTTTCTGTCAATTTCAGTGGAAGGCTCTGAAGACATGGACCCAAGGCAACCACATTGGTTGCCTTCTGCTAGGCCAGGCTGGAGGGAAAAGAATCATTCCTTCGAGCCAGAGTTGAACCAGCAACCTAAAGATCACTTGCCAATCACACACTACAGTCCTCCGCTCTGCCAGATGAGCTATTGTAGGGTGCCTAACACTGGCTTGTCCAGGTTGTCCCTTCTACAAGTCTTGGGGCAAATGCTCCCCCAAGTATATGGCATTGCTGATGAGGGGCAGAGCAGCACAGGGGCTGTCACAGGTACTTAACATGCAGACAGACCTCTTGAGTGAAACCTGAGCTAGATCCATCCATGTCACAGCAAAAGGAAGAAAGTTGGGTTCTTCTCATGTGTCTTCTTTGTTCTAGAGTCTCTAGGGGTGTGGTCGGTGCAGGTCTACAAAAAAACAAACCACTTGAATGAACCTTGGTCTACAAACACATAGAAACACCCCTGAGGATTTCCTTGACTCTACTTAAATGTTGACAGAAATTTTGTTGCTAACTCCCTGGCTAACTCAGTTTGCTGTGGGGTTAAGAAATTCTCTCTCCTTAATTCTGTGCCCTCAGGAAGGGAGCAAATTGAAGAACGCCAGGTTCCTTCCTGGGGACTCCAACCCAAACCCTAGGACCAAGGGATTTACAAGCCCGATGACCAATGTTTACTGCACTTCTCCCTCCCCCAAACTATGCCAAACCTCAAATGCAACTACAGCCCCAGCAGCTGGGGGAGATGTGCATGTTAGAGCCTCTGCCCACTGAGCTGTAGCTTTCTATGCCCAGGGAGCCAGACACTGCCAGGGCTGGAGGGGAATGGGAGTCAAAGGTGTTGTCTGGGACCATAGAATAGAACAGTTTCACCAATCTACCTGCAGAGGGCACCATGGCTCAGTTGGCTAAATCATCTGTGTAGTAAACAGGAGATCCTGGGTTCAGCTCCCAGTGGTGCCTTCTGATACCCTTTTACCACATTTTCCTATGTGTTTCTAGGACACAGAAGAGGCCTCCCCTGTCCACCCATGGAACTGCTGGTTCAGAAAAAGGCTGATTGGAGAGGAGTGTTGGAAAGAAGGAAACCACAAGTGAGAAGCACCTGATGCCCACAGACCCTCACTCTCCATGGCTGCAGGAGCTGCAGAGGTTGTACCCTCAGGCTCTCTAGGTGCTGATACCCCCAGTGAATCACAAGGGTGTGTGGTGCTGTCTCTCCTGTCCCAGCAATTGCAGTCAGAGCCCTGCCTTGCCAGTGCCAGTCACAAAAGCCTCTGCACCTGCTCCAGGCTTGTGGTTTCCTTCTTCCCAACACTCCTCCCCAATCAGCCTTTTCCTGAACCAGTAGTTCCATGGGTGGCCAGGGGAGGCCTCTTCTGTGTCCCAGAAACACATAGGAAAATGTGAGCAAAGGCTGTAATAAGGCACCACTGGGAGTTGAACCCAGGTTTGTCTGGGGCTGTGGTTGCTGCTGACAGGGAAGGACCTGGGAGGCAAGATGCTGACAGCAAGAGATTCCAGCTGCCTCTTTGCCCTGGGTCTCAGTGCACCATGCCGGTCG